TTCAAGCCGTGATTTGTCATAATTGTGATGACTATGGCTTACAGCTCATGAAAACCCCAAATTCACAATCTCATAAAATTAGAATATTGTGAAAAGGTGCAATATTCTAGGCTCAAAGTGTCCCACTCTAATCAGCTAATTAAGCCATAACACCTGCAATTGTTCCTGAGCCTTTAAATGGTCTCTCAGTCTGGTTTAGTAGGAATCACAATCATGGGAAAGACTGCTGACCTCACAGTTGTGCAGGAAACCATCATTGACACCCTCCATAATCAGGGAATGCCTCAAAAGGTAATTGCAAAAGAAGTTGGATGTTCCAGTCCAGTGTGAAGTTTCCACAGTCTTTGTTGATTTGGGGAGCCATATCATCTGCTGGTGTTGGTCCACTGTGCTTCATTAAGTCCAAGGTCAACGCAGCCGTCTACCAGGAGATTTTGGAGCACTTCATGCTTCCTTCCGCAGACGAGCTTATGGGGATGCTGACTTCATTTTCCAGCAGGACTTGGCACCTGCCCACACTGCCAAAAGCACCAAAACCTGGTTCAATGACCGTGGGATTACTGTGCTTGATTGGCCAGCAAACTCGCCTGACCTGAAACCCGATAAAAGAATCTTTGGGGCATTGCCAAGAGAAAGATGAGAGACATGAGACCGAACAATGCAGAAGAGCTGAAGGCCGCTATTGAAGCATCCTGGTCTTTCATAACACCTCAACAGTGCCACAGGCTGATAGCTTCCATGCCATGCCACATTGAGGCAGTCATTGCTGCAAAAGGGGCCCGAACCAAGTACTGAGCACATATGCATGCTTATACTTTTCAGAGGATCGATATTGTTCTATGTACAATCCTTGTTTTATTGATTGCATGTAATATTCTAATTATCTGAGATCGTTGATTTGGGGTTTTCATGAGCTTGTAAGCCATTATGACAAATCACAGCTTAAACTATCTTGCTTTGCATGTAATGAGTCTATCTCATATATTAGTTTCACCTTTTAAGTTGCATTACTGAAATAAATCAACTTTTGCACAATATTCTAATTTTTAGAGTTTTACCTGTATATTGAGACTGGGCTAAGCGGGAGATTTTTTTTTTTTTTTTTTTTTTTTTTCTTTTCAACCAACAATATCCTTTGGAGGAAAGTTTACTTGGAAATGGCCAGTTCCTGTGGTGGATCTGGTTATTTATTACCTTAACAAGACCCTCTCAACCCCCATGAAACAAAATCCCATGTTCAAAGACCTCGTAGATTAAAAGTTGGATCCCTTCCTTAATCCTTTAGCCCTGTCACACAACCCTACATTGCAATGTACACAATGTACATTGCTGTCTGGACTAAATGTATGGCCCAGAAATCTAGCTCCATCCTTAAAAATCTTTTTGGCCATAGGCAGTTAGAACATTTGCGCTGCTGTTTTGAATTGCTTGTCAGATACACTGCACAAAATGCTGGTCAGCTTGCTCCCTTGCAAGAAATGCTTTGAGAGGGTTGCCCTTTGAAAGCGAATGCCTGTTTGGTCCCTCCTTGGATAAGTGTATCCAGAAAATCACAGGGTGTAAGAGTGCTCTCCTCCCCAGAAAAAAAAGTCTGTTTCCTACCAGTACACTGTGTGCACAATTATTAGGCAAGTGAGTATTTTGACCAAATCAATAATTTTCATGTATATTCCCCACTCCCAGCCCGCAGCCTTCTGGGACACATCACAGGTCCCAGAATGCTGCAGGACCCTTCACAAAGCACAGTGTGTGCATAATTGTGCATAGGCAACTAGCAGCCCTTTCCTCAGGAAAAACCAAAAGAGATTTCACTGACAGCTGCCCACAGTAAAAAATTTAAAATGTCCGGGACCGAAGATTGATGAGGACGGCGCTGGATCCCCTGGACAGATGAGTGTCTGTTTATTAAAAGTCGCAGCTACAGTTTTTGTAGCTACTGAATTTTAATTTTCACACACTTAACCGAAGCTCCTCTTTAAGGACCAATATCTGTTGCACTGCTGTCTTGATATATTGCTAGTGCTTCAGTTGGTAAAACTACAGAAATGGGGTGTGTCTTCCCCACACTAGTGTATCAGGCAGTTGTTGCTGAATTCATTTCAAGACCTGCCTTTTTCCAACACCTTACTGCATCCTTGGAAACAAAAAATGGGCCCAAAACCCCATGGACCCAGTAATGGAAATGGGAATCAAGGCAGCATCAAGGCACAGACCACTTCGACTGCAACCCCTGGCGTGACATGGACAGATATGGGTAAAGATGAGCTAACTTTTTGGGTTGAAATGTGAATCAAGGCAGCTCCCAAACCAACTGACAGTTTTTACACTGACAATGTTTTCAAGCATGTCCCTAGGCAACAGAAGTCGATCTTTCAAAAGATTGACTTCTGTCAAGGGACAGCCCCTTACATGATCAAAATTCGTCTGACCCCTGTTGAACCGGCATTAAATTTCGATCAATGTATGGCCCCAGCTTTAGAAATGAGACACCTGTGGTTACTTAACTGAAAATAGAATACTGTAAAAGTATAATGTGATCAAAAATGCCAATGAAAACTATTCTGGCTCCTAAATGTTGCTTGTTATGCTGTTATTCCCCATTGAAGGTGTCTATATCGATTTATTTTTTTTTTTTTAAGATTAAATGTCATTAGAAGGTTTATTTTTTTTGTTTTGTCTTTTTTTCACTTAATGACAGTAACTTGCCTAATAGCTTGAAAATGGACAGAATGTTTTTGTATTTAGGCATATTAATGCCCTGCCCCAATTCCCAATGCAAATGAACCCGAGCAGATTTGCGCATCCCTATCTGTGATCTGGAAATATCTTGCTGTTGGCAGTATGTGAGGTTAAAAGTTTAAGAAACATTGGAGCACATTATATAAAACTTGTTTATGCTGCGAACAGGCAGCTGTTCTCTATGTGGTTTTCCTATTAATCTGTGCAAAACATATTCACAGTTGTGTTTATACAGACATATTTTGAAAATGTATACAGATTACTCATTGTCAACTTGCATAGAGGATTTGTCTTGAAAACATAGTATATACAGTCACAGGGCCTGAAAATCAAATCAGCATGACCAGACATAGGTCTGGGGTCCTGCATCCTCCATGAGAAAAATGAAAACTCCTCCTACAAGCTCTTAACTTTCTGCTGAAACTGATAGAAGTCACAAGTATTTCTAAACACTGAAAAAAGGTATTGCATTAACACATTTTTTAGCCATAAATGTTTATTCCCTTTGTATGTATTGGAACAAATATAAAACAGAGGCAGAAAAGCAAATATGACATAATGTCACACAAAACCCCAAAAATGGGCTGGACAAAAGTATTGGCACCCTAAAAACTTTTAATAATTGGTTGCACACCCTTTGAAAACATTACTGAATCAGTCGCTTCTATAACCATCATTAAGCTTCTGACACCTCTGCCCGGAATTGGGGCGTCCACTCTATCCTTTGCAAACAGCTCCAGGTCTCTCTTATTGGAAGGACACCTTTTCCCAACAGCAATTTTAAGAACTCTCCACAGGTCTTCAATGGGATTTAGATTTCGCTCTGTTTCTCATCCTCCATCCTTCTCTGCCACATTTGGATGGTATTTTTTTGAGGGGGGGTTACCTAGATTTGACAGTTTGCCATCACACTTTTGAGTGCTTCCCACGTATGTTTGGGGTCATTGTCCTGCTGGAAGACCCAGGATCTTGGACGCAAACCCAGCTTTCTGACACTGGGCCCTACATGTGCGACCCCCAAAATCCTTTGGTAATCCTCAGATTTCATGATGCCTTGCACACAGTCAAGGAGCACCCCAGTGCCAGAGGCACAGCAAAACAACCCCAAAATTCATTGAACCTCCACCATATTTTACCTAGGTACTGTGTTTTGTTCTTTGTAGGCCTCATTCCGTTTTCGGTAAACAGTAGAATGATGTGCTTTACCGAAAAGCTCTATCTTGGTCTCATCTTTCCACAAGATCTTTTCCCCAGAAGGCTTTTGCTTACTCAAGTACTTTTTGGTAAAACTGTAGTCTTGGTTTTCTTCCCACACTCTGTATCAGCAGTTGTTGCTGTCATGTCAATTCATCCTGGGTCTCCTGCCATAGCGTTTCATTTCATTTAAATGTGACGGATAGTTCCCGCTGACACTGATGCTCCCTGAGCCTGCAGGACAGCTTGAATGTCTTTGAACATGTTTGGGGCTGCTTATCCACCATCCGGACTATTCTGCGTTGCAATCTTTCATCAATTCCCTCATCCGTCCACGACCAGGGAGATTAGACTACTGTGCCATGGGTTGCAAACTTTACTGATCAAAATTCGTTGCGCCCTGTGGAAAAAGGCAAATCTAGTTCTCTGGAGCTTTGGACTTGTAACCTTGAGATTGTTGAAAATTTTGCCACAATTTTGGTTCTCAGGTCCTCAGACAGTTCTCGTCTCCTCTTTCTGTTGTCCATGCTTAGTGTGGCACAGACAGACACACAATGCAAAGGTTAGTGAACGTCTCTATTTTTTTTTGCTTTGCCATCCATTTTTTGATTTCTTATTGCCCACACCTGTTACTTGCCCCAGGTGAGTTTACAGGAGCATCAGAATGCTTGTAACATTCTTATTTATCCGCAGTTGTGAAAGGGTGCCAATACTTTTGTCCAGCCCATCTTTTTGGAGGTTTGTGTGACATTATGTCGAAAATTTGCTTTCTTTCCTCCATTTTTTTTTGTTTTTGTCCCAATACACACAATGGGAATAAACATGTGTATAGCAAAACATGTGTTAATGCAATACGTTTCGTGAAATGTATACATGATTTCCTGGAGAAATATCAAGGGTGCCAACAATGATTTGCCATGACTGTATGTGGCTAGTGCAGAACTGTTAAAAAATCTCTGTTCTTTGCTGTCACATTACTATTTAGCTAAGATCTATTCGATTTCTCATATGTAAATGATATTGAATTCAAATTAACTTGCACTAACATTTCATGCTTGCATTTTAAGCAATACGAGGATTTTCGCCGCAACATAAAATCTGCAGTTTTGAAGAAGCAAAGGGATTGGACAGGATCAATGAAAGGATGCCTCCTAGGAAAGATGCCAGACAGCAAGACGGTATTAATTCAGTTAACACAAATGCCAAGGAAAATAACGGGACTGGCAATAACAACGCCCAGTGACAACACTCCATGTCCAGGTTTACTCACACCTTGCCTGAGAAGTCCTAGATTCATGCTTTGTGATAGAACAGCTTCAATAGCCAATGGGCACTAGAAGACCTAATAGCAGACAGTTCAAAGTTGTGGGAAATTCAGCAGTTTCCTGTGTGCAAACTTTCATGCTCCCAAGACAAGAAAACGTTAAAGTGTGAAACCCAGATACTTGCATTGGGCACGTTTCTCTCCTGTCACTATCTGGTCTCTGAATCGTGGGAAGGTATTGGGCTGTTTGTCATGAAAGCACATCTAGTGTAGCATCTCATGCTTATCATTGTTGACACTTAAGTTTACAAATGGAAATCTCTGTTTTTGTTCACTAGCTAGATTTTTTCAAATCAAATTTAAGTACATCCCTCAAAAGCTATTTATTTAAAAGACATTTGTTTATTAAATGTCTTTAAAAGATAGATTAGAGTTGTCTTAAATATACCGAGGCTGCAAAATGTATTTTAAAATGGATACGAACCAATGCCAAAATAAAAGTTGGCTCTTATTTAATGCTGACCTCAGGTGTATTAATTAGATGTTGGGAATTATGTATTATACTCACTGTATTTTTTAGTTTTAAGGATTATGGAAAGATTTCTACATAGGAACATTTATTACTTGAACACAGATCAAACAAATATTTAATTTCAATACTTTTTTGCCCGAAATTTGTGGAGATTTTTTCATCCCTTTAAAATAAAAAAAAATTTTCAAAAAGGACAAAAAAAAAAAAAACAAAACAAAAAGGATATCAAGATTGTTCATTCTAGGGTACTTTTAATTGAGCAATGTACATTATGTTAAAGTAAATTTTGATTCATATCAAGTCTGTAAAGCTTGGCATTGTATTTTGTGTATGCATGTTTTCTTTTTTGCAAATATTTAATATATAAACCTATGATGTACAGGAACTGCATCTATAGGTTACATAGATGTTATGAATACATTTTAGTTTATTGTGAGTATTAAAGTTGCTTCTATGGCTGATCACGACTGAATAGCTGCAGGGTTTTTTTTTTTAAATGGATTTCTTGAGTCTGCATAGACTGCGAACACTTTAAACATTTGTTTAGACCGTGCAGGACTTGAAGATTGCTCTGTCCAAACGTTAAAACATTAGTGACTGTAAAGCAAGACTGCATGTTCATTTCTTTTTTTAATATTTGCTGGACTGCTAAGTTTGAAGACTACAAGAACTTGCTTATTTGTTCCACAAGATAATGAAATGTACTGATTTCCATTGTATTTTTGGTATATATTTTGACATTTACCTTTCCATCTTTGCAAGATCACTTGAAGCTTAAGCTTAAGGGTAACCTTTAAGATTTTTTTTTTCCCCATCCTGTCCCTCTCCCGCACCCTTCCTTCATGCTCTACAGACTGTACATACTCTTCATCCAGGTCAGACATTTTATGCATGTTCTGAGTTATTGAAAACTTTTATAAACAGTAGCACACAATACATTTTGTGCATGGGCCGCTGCTCTGAACAGTGTGTCAATTTTGTATGTTCGCCCTTTTGCTTTTTAATATAATCTAAAATAAATTTAAAAAATGAACTGTTTTCCCTTTTGGCAAAAAGAGAAATTTGCCGCAGCATCATGCAGCAGAAAACAACTCTTTGAACGCAGTATATTTCTCATGGAGAAACTTCTCTAGATGTGTAAGCCCTCTATAATAAAATGTATGTTTCTTCTATACTGCCAAACTTCTTCCTCTACAATATGCAACTTATTTGCAGGCGACAATGTATGATGTTCTCCCAAATAAAATGAAAATGTATTTAAAAATAAATGATTCTCGCATGATTCTTGGTCTGGAATATTAGAATTATGGGGAGATTAGGAAATTATTTAACAAACTGCTTTTCAAGTGATTGCATTACGGGTGGGCATCAGATTAAATCAAAAGGTAAAAAATGTGCAATGGGGTTGATTTAATAAAACTGAAGAGTGCAAAATCTGGTGCAGTTCTGTATATAAACCAATCCGCTTCCGGGTTTATTTTGACAAAGCTTGAAGGATAAATTCACTTTTCAGAACATGTTACACCCATATTCAGGATGTAACATGTTATGAATGTACCAGTGCCCACCACTCCCCCGCTTTGACAGCTAGCGGGGGATCTTCACCTCCTTGCTAGCAGTCAAATTTTTTAAAAACCTGGACCCGGGCAGGGCTCCATCCGCCCGACAATGTCACTCATTCACTGTGTTCTGTGAATGAGGAACTACAAATCCCAACAGCCTTAGCGGTTGTCAGCTTGTAGTTCTCAGTGAACTACCACGGCACTGTGGAGCGGCACTGTGAACTACCACGGCACTGTGGTTTTCTTGTCCGTAAGTCTGCTTGCCCGTACATTCCAGACGGGCAAGCAAATAGACTGATTGATCTGCAGGAGAATCTGCTGATCACTGCTGCAATGCTTTACAGGCTCCTGCAACATAAAATAATAAATGCACATTTTTTTTACCTGCAAAAAAAGTCAATTTATTATTTTTTGTATAAAGGTGAACTTATCCTTTAATTGAACAGGCTGAAGTTAGAAGCTGATTGGTTACCATGCAGAGCTGCACCAGATTTTGCACTCTCCAGTTTTAGTAAATCAACCCCAATGTCTTAATAATCCTATGAGTAATATTTTTTTTTCTTTTACACAAAGCATTCTGCTTTTGCTGAAGAGCACTGACAAAATCAGAAGTAAAAAGGATTCATGTAATCTGATCCAAGAGCAGTATTGTTTGCTGTTTTGTTTCTTTCCACAAGCACAAGTCCTCTTTATCCTTTATTTCCATTCAATTTTTCTTATTGCATTAGCAATGATTGCAGCAAATGTGGACTTCTACCACAACTTGACCTTGGATGAATGAGTAGTGGCATGGAAGTGATGTTAAGACTTACCATCACTGCAGCGTTCAGTATTCTATGTGGGCAAGCTGTATTTAAGCCAGAAACTCTGGTGAATCCCTCCCTGTGTAGCCAGCCTCGCAAACTTTTTTTGTGCAGTTCAAGACGAGCTCCATTTGTCTTAAATGCCAGGCAAGCTGTGTTTAAGCCAGAAACTGGCAAATCCCTCCTTGTGTAGCTAGCCTCACATTTTGCAATGCTGTATTGGAGCCTAATTAAAATGATCTCCAAGAAAAGAAAAATTTACTTAAGGTGAGGGAATTCAACCAAGAGCAAACCTTTTTTGTGCAATGCAGGACGAACTCCATTTGTCTTAAATGGCAGGAGTTGGTGGCTTTGTTTAATCCCTTAATTAAGAAGGCAAAACAAGTTATAAAGATTATACACTCCATAGTGAAAAAAGTCAAATAGTTCCTAGTTTCCTGATAGTTTTAACGTAAAATGAAAACTATTCAGGAGAAACTAAGTGTATTGCAAGTAGAGGAGATATTAAATCTTATACTTGCTATACAGTAATGGTCTGATAACAGGAAGAACCTGTATTACCATTCCGGTGCCTGTATGGGTCCTGGCTTTACCCATCACAGTGGGCATAGCCCCCTACCTTGGAGGAGTCTGGTAACCATGGGAATGGACCACACCCCTGGACCTGTAAAGCATCCTGTAGCTAACTACACGGGGTGCACAAGGGTAGGCAAGGATGAAGGTATTCCCCAGACTGATGCAAGGGAACATGTCTCTAAGGCCTGACAAAGGAAGTCTGTAGGACCTGCCTGACCTTCCTAGTTGTGAAGCAATGTATAGGAACGTTAGCAACGTTGCTAAGAACATCTACCTGTTTAAGGGCAGAACCGAGGAAAGGATCTGGAGAAAATTAAGAGACTGTGTATCAACCACAACAGAAGGACTCATCTCCATGTGATCAGGTCCCACGAAGGTCTCCGGACATACTCCACCTCCAACAAAAAAGGAAAAATTCATCAGGAACTTGGTATGTTCTGCCTACTAACAATCCAGGGTGGACACAGAGCCCTCAACACCTGCCTTCCAGGGGATGAGCACTTGGGTGCACAAACCTCTCCCTTCAATAAAAAGAACACAGATTGAGGAGAACCAAATGCTGCTGTGATTAGGGAGGGCAGTAGTGATGTCAAACCACCTAAGGAAGCCAGCTCACAATGTGATCCCTGACCAAGAAGAGACCGTCTGTTCTGGGGAACCAGACTGAGACTCAGGGTTTGGGACAACCCAGTAAGTTGCATCCCCCCCAAGGCAGGGGGAAGGGGCCATCCCATGCACCCGCGAAAACTGGCAACACCCTTGACCTTTTCTCATAAGTTTGCACTCGCTCCAACAATCCTTTTCCTCTCTCTGATCATTACTTTTTTTAGTTTAACTCCTGTCACTATCTTCCACCTCCTCTTCCTCCAGCCCCCAAACAGTTACCCATAGAAACCTTCATCACCTTAACCCTTCTCTTCTCTACTCTGCTGCTGACCATCTCTATGACAAAATGTCACCCCTTCCTGCCCCAACCTAGCCACGTCTGTCTACAACAGTTCACTGTCATCCTTAGACACACTTTCCCCCCTCACTACACACAGAATCAGGCTAAAACTCACAATCTGCTAATGGCTAAAACCAGTGGACACTATTCTGTAATCTACTCCTTGACCTCTCTGCTGCCTTTGACACAGTGGACCACTGTGTTTTTGCTATTTCCCCTAGACAACTTGCAACAATGTTTTGGCAGAAAAAAAGCATAATGCGTGTAACATGTTTAGACGCGTCAGTAATTTATTCTGGCCATTTAAATTAATTAACGCTCAAGTGCTAAATGTGCTGCACACGTTTCGGCGCTAAATGCTCTTGAACATGCTGGCAGTGTTTTTTTTTTTTTTTTTTTTTTCTTTTTTCCTGCCTTTGAATGCCCCCACCTCTAAACATCTATGTGTGCATGGACACACAGGTTAACATGCAGGTGTGTTTAGAGGCAGAGAAAAAATGGCAGATTCCCCTAAGAGTAGCATCAATAACATCTAATGTGCATGAGATCTAATAGAAAAC